CAACATATCCTTTTATTTCAAACGTAACAAACACATCTATCACATAAGGAATTATCTATATCAAACCCATCTTTAATTAAATTAATATATAAGTCCAATTAAACTAAGTATATCACATAGAATTAGTATCTAACACAAACACACATTTAATTACTACATATAAGTCCTTAGCCTCTTTTATTTATTTGTTGAGTTTGGGCAATTCAGCAACAAAGGAAGACATAAGAAAAGGTTCGTTTTTTTTTTCTCTAATGGTAATATTTATAATTCATCATTATTAGTATTTTTTTATAATCATTAGTATTTTTTTTCTAGTTTACATTGTTATTGGTATTGCTCATTCAACGTTTTGATATATTCAATTAGATTTCTAGAGTTCTTTTATCATAGTTTTAATTTTTATCGAGTATTTGGTTGATTATTGTTATTTTATTTTCAGAAATAATGCCTCCTAAGTATTTATCTGGTAGTCAAAAACGTAAAAAGAAAAAAAGAATTGAAGAATCAACAAAGGCTAACAGTGGTTCTCTAGATAAGTTTTTCCAAAAAAAACCTAAAGTTCCTTCTCAAAATCAAAATAATGATGATATTCCTGATAATTTGGGTGTTGATGTCAAACGAGATCAAATTACTGATGTTAATGTTGATAATGTTAATTTCGATGGAGATCGTGTTGATGTTGATGATGGTAATGACGATGGTGATAACATTGAAGATGATGGTGATGATGATGATGATGATGATGATGATGATGATGATGTTGATGATGATGTTAATGTTAATAGTAATAATGTTGATATATTCGATCCAAGAAATTGGGATGGACTAAGCACAGACATGGTGAAACGTTTGGTAGAGAAAGGTCCTAAAAGGGATAATACTATTGATAAGGGTCCACCTGATAGATTTTCTAGACGGTTTTCTGCAACTATGTATACTAGAACTCTGCCAAATAAACAGACATGTAACAGAGAATGGCTAGTATACTCGAAAGAGCTTGATAAAGTTTTTTGTTTTTGCTGTAAAATATTTAGAAAAGGGATCCCGAAAGGTCAATTAGATAGTGAAGGTTATGCAGATTGGCAACATCTTAGTACAAGACTTAAAGAGCATGAAGTTGGTTTAGATCATCTCACAAATTTAGCTACTTGGTTTGAAATGCGTGAAAGATTGAAAGTTAATGAAACAATTGATAAAGTGGTGTATGATCAATTTAAGAAAGAAAGGGAGCATTGGAAACAAGTACTATTGAGGATTATTGCACTAGTGAAATATTTGGCTAAATATAATTTAGCATTTCGTGGAACAAATGAAAAATTATATCAAAAGAGTAATGGAAACTTTCTTGGAGCGATTGAGATGTTTGAAGAGTTTGACCTGGTTATGAAAGAGCATGTGCGTCGTATCAAAAATGATGAGATCCATGTACATTATCTTGGCCACAAGATCCAAAATGAGGTGATACTTTTACTAGCTGATGAAATTAAACGAGAAATCATTAAAAAAGTAAAGGAAGCAAAATATTACTCCATCATACTTGATTGTACCCCTGATACAAGTCACCAAGAACAAATGTCTTTGATAGTGAGGTATGTAAATTTCTCCTCCAATGATGTTACTGTTGAAGAATCCTTTTTAGGTTTTTTGAATGTTAATGATACGACTGGTAAAGGGCTCTTTGATATTACACACGATGAATTAAAATCTCTTGGTCTTGATATTGATGATATGCGGGGGCAAGGGTATGACAATGGATCAAACATGAGAGGAAAACATCAAGGAGTTCAAAAGAGATTTTTGGACATAAATTCTAGAGCATTTTATACTCCATGTGGTTGTCATAGTCTTAATCTTGCACTGTGTGACATGGCTAACAGTTGTAGTAAAGCTAGAGATTTTTTTGGAGTCATACAACGAGTATATACAATATTTTCCAATTCTACTAAGAGGTGGCAAATTCTGAAAGAGAATATCAAAGGTTTGACTCCAAAGTCATTGTCTGCCACTCGGTGGGAAAGCCGTGTTGATAGTGTGAAGGCTATTAGACAACAACTTCCGGATTTAAGAGAAGCTTTACTTGAAGTTGCGGAAAAAGACAACGATGCTAAAATCCAAAGTGAAGCTAAATCGCTAGCAAATAATGAGCTTGGTGGATTTGAGTTTTTGGTATCCATAGTCATTTGGTATCAAATATTGTACATGGTGAACTTAGTTAGCAAAAAATTACAATCAAAAGATATGCTTCTCGATGTTGCTATTAACGAAGTGAATATGCTAATTGAGTACTTCAAAGAGTTTAGAGAAACAGGGTTCTCCAAGGCAATTGATGATGCGAAGGAACTTTCCGTTGAAATGAATATTGATCCGGTATTCTCTCAAAAGCGGCCGGTTAGTAGAAAAAAACAATTTCATGAGAATTCAAGTGATCAAGATGTTGTATTTTCAGCCGAGGAGAATTTTAAAGTTAATTACTTTTTATATATTGTTGATCAAGCGAGTGCTTCTCTTAAAACAAGATTTCAACAATACAAAGCGTATGAAAATATTTTTGGTTTTTTGTTTCCAAAAAAAATGAAGGAATTTGATGACAAAGATCTCAAGTCATGTTGTCGCCGTCTTGAAGCCGCACTTAAGTCTGGTGAACAATCAGATATCGATTCTCATGAACTTTATATGGAGTTAAAGCTGCTTGACATGTTCTTACCGAGTGAAATTACGAGCCCTATTGATGTTTTAAAGTATATGAAAAAAGTCGATTGTTTTCCTAATGCAATTATTGCCTACAAAATCTTGTTGACTATTCCCGTAACGGTCGCGTCTGCAGAAAGAAGTTTTTCAAAGCTAAAGTTGTTGAAGTCCTACCTAAGGTCCACAATGTCACAAGAAAGACTTAATGGATTGGCGATAATAGCTATTGAGAACGTTATATTGGAGACTATTGATTATGAAGAGTTGGTGAACAATTTTGCTTCCAAGAATGCTAGGAGAGTCTCGCGATTCATGTAGTTGTCTAAGATTATCTATTGTATGATCGTTCTTTTCTTTTGCTTCATATTATAACAATTATGAAATAATTAATGAATTTTTTATATAAGTAAAAAATAAATATATATTTAGGGGCCCATTTTTTAATTTCGCACCGGGCCCCTAAAATCAACGGACCGGCCTTGAATCCAATTACATTATTTTTGCTCAAATTCGGTGAATAGTAAAATCAAGTTTGTTAAAATCTCGATTTTAATCTTACGGTCTTACGATTTTACAATCGTACAAGTGAAAAAAGATCCCGACCTCACTTCTTTAGTTTTATTATAAAGATGAGTATCAAAATTTTGTCTATTCAACTTGAAATCGAGTGTCACAAGTTGTAAGAAGTCTTCTAGAGCATCACCATTTTATCAATTCATCATAATGTGGAAAAAAGTAAGCTTTTTAGGAATATGTGTTTATGAGGATGATCCCAATGATATGGTTGCAGTGCTAGGATGCGGGGTTTCAGGTTTTCTTTTTTACTTATCTTGGGGTTCCGATTGGTTATAATATGTCACGGATTGCCAATTGGAAAGGGGTTGTAGATAAATTTAAAAATAAACTTTTAGATTGGAAGGCTCGTACCCTCTCTACCGGAGGTAGACTGACGCTGGTTAAAGTTGTTCTTGGGATTCTCCTGACTTACTACATGTCCATTTATAAGATGTCGGTTACCGTTGAAAAAATATTGGAGTCTCTTTGAAATAATTTTTTCATTAGTGGTGATGAGGAAGATAGGAAGATGACTTGGATTGCTTGGGGAAAATGTTTGGCAAGTAAAGAACTTGGGGGCTTGGGTATTGGAAGTATTTTTGCGCTAAATATTTCTCTTTTGTTTAAATGGATTTGGAGGTTTATAATGAAGTCTAACGACGTATGGGCTATTTTGTCAAAAATATTCTTGGGGTTGATGGTTCTATTGATAACCAGCCCCATCACAGATCTTTGCTCTCATTGTGGAATATGACTACCGACGTAGTCAGAAAGCTGTCAAAAAAAGGTGTTGACCTTTTTGCTTTGTGTAAGCGTAAACTTGGTAACAGGTATTCTACTTTATTTTGGGAGGACGTTTGGTGTAGTGAGCTTCCCTTAAAATTTTGGTTTCGAGAGGTATTGATATTGGCTAATATTTTCTTGTGGAGGTTGTTTTTGAATAAAATTTCCACCATTATTAATTTAGATAGATGAGGTATTGATATTGGCTCTTTATTATGTCCTATTTGTGGCGTCGATGTTGAAACTGTCAACTACCTTTTCTTTTCTTGTGGGATGGCATTGGATTTATGGAGTTTTCTTTCGAGGTGGTGGGAGTTAGATTTCCCTTTCTTTTCTTCCTTTTTTGAATGGTTATCTTGGCCTAATTTTGTTCGCTTATCTATCAAGATCAAAAGATGTTTGGATGTGGCAGTTACTACTATGTTTTGAGCGATATGGACTTTACAAAATAGATTACTGTTTTCGAAAGTTAAACCTCTTAAGGCGGTGATTCAGGATTCTATCCACTCTCAATCTTTTAATTGGATTAGCTGATTGATTTCGTGAAAACCCCATCTTTTGTAATCTCTTAATGTAATTTTCTAGCTTTTGCTATTTTTTATTGTTTAATGTCGTCGTTCTAAAAAAACTCATCTCGAGTTAGGTAGAACACACTCATAATTATCACTTTATACTCTTATATCTTATTTGTACATAATCAAAATGATCTTATTTCTAATTAAGATGTTTTATTCTTAATGTTTACGGTTTATAGCAGCAAAAATTATAAATGGTGTTTAAGAAGATAAAGTTGATTACACTATCTTGTGAGCAAATTTCAATATGAGTTCATTTTGATAGGATCTTATGATCCCTATCCGATCTTACGATACGATCTTGCAAAATGTAATACGATTTGAAGTAAGATCTTGATTTTGATAACCTTTAGTAAAAATTTAGATACAACTCGGATATAATAAATCCATGAATTTATTGTGAGCCCATCATCCACCATTTCAAATATATTGGCTAAAAATGATATCGGAAGAAAAACATCTAATTACAATTACTCATTCAGTATGAAAACATAATGAATAAAACAAATATTCGATTAACAAATTCTAATCTATTTATGTTCGAACTCTATGAATGCTAAAATACTACATCCAAATTTAACTTCTTCTTAAGAAATTATGATTTGTTATATAATGAATTCATCCTCATATGAACATCCTTATGACCTCTCAAATGGATTGGCTCAAAATCAGATCGAAAGGTGAATATCCGATAAGGATGATGACTCGTTAAAACCTTTTTGATATGATCACCGCCTTTAAACCTGTAAAATGCAATTGCCTCGTACTCTCTCATAACTCTTGTGTCTGAATCATATATTGCATCTAGTGAACTTATTCCATTATCTTCTGATCTCGTGTCAAAAACATGAACTCTCTCCCATGATTCGTCGTTAGTAAGAACCCAAAGCTCCCAAAGATGACTTGTTGTCCTGTAAGCAAACCCCAACTTTCTTTCAAACTTTATGAGATGGCTTGTAGTTCCAAATGGATATTCGAGGGTTTGAATAGGCAACGAAAAGGTTGTCCACTTTTCAGAATATGCCTCAAACTTCAAGACATCGTTGTTACTCAATGGCATGTAGATTGATCCCCTTGTGGTGATCGCTTGTTGGTTAGTTAGGAAGACACCAAAAGGCAATATTACAAGATCTAGTAGTCTCCATTCCCATGTCATTGAGTCGAAGATTTCACATTTATATGTCGTGTATAGCTTATCACGTCCTCGTAAGACACTGAAAGAAAGAAAAAAAAGAATCCAAAAAGCACCATTAGAATGATTGTGTTGAACATAATCTTAATTTGTTATAATTAAAGAAAATAGAAAACCCACAAATAAAACAAGAAAATATATGCAAGTAACATCAAAACAAAGTTCTTTAATCACATAAATAATGTAAACATGTATGTAGGTACTTACGGTTTCTTGGGTTCAGATAATCTCACGATCTTGTAGTGCAATATTGGCTTTGAACCCACCACAAGAATGGCAACATTCTTGGTTAAATACCTGGTTTTGGGATTTGGCAATGTCAAAACCTCCTTAGTTGTAGGTTTACAAACATGATATGAAACCAACTTATAATCCCGTGGATGAGGACTCTCGAAGACAATAAATCCTTGCTCTGAAGATGCTAGGATTTTAGCGTTGGGTGGCAGAAAACCAAGATCAAGACTGTGGGATTCACATGATGGTGCAAACTCGTTGATGTATTTGCACCCCTTTCTAAGGTTTTGTACGAGGAAACCAGAAACAATGTTGTTTCTTTGCTTGTACAAATTGAGAAAATACGATTCATATGTGAGTTTCTCAAATTCTGTGTTGGTACAACGCATGGTATCAAGAGTTTTTAGTGTTGTTCTCGAAAGAATCTCCATGTTCATGTCGTAAGAGAACTTGGAATCCATTGAAGAAAATTTAGGTTGACGCTAAATTACAGGTGGAAGAAGAGGGGGTTAAAGCTAAATTGCAGGTGGAAGAAGAGGTTGTTTTTCTGCGGATGAAAGGTTTTTGAAAATACATATATAATATATATACCCATCGATATAGAGTATGATTCGGAGTCTGTTCAGTTCTTATAATATTTTATTACTATTTTATATGTATGGAAAGTTCAGAAAAGGAAATCAAATATCCTCAATACTAATTCTTCTATCGCACTTAAATTACGACTAGTGTCATATTTCCTTCTCCTACCCCACGTAAAATTGTGACTTTCCTTCTCCTATCCCACTTAAAATTGTGACTTTCCTTCTCCTATTTCCTAGAACAAATATATGGTTTTTTTTCTCCATGCATCGGTCAATATAAAGTAACATGTAAAAAAAAAAGGCAGCTGATCTTTTTGAAAACTTATACATAGATAATAATAATAATAATAATAATAATAATAATAATAATAATAATAATAATAATAATAAGTAATCAATTAATACTTTTAGTTCTAAATGTAAAGATTTAACATTCTAACCAATTTTATATAGTTCAAAAGTGAAAAGATTTTGGAAACAGATTGTTATCACAATGTTTCCTTAAAATGTATATTGTGTATTATTGAAGTCTTACTATTTTATGTGTGTATTGTATGCTATGTATATATATGTAAATTAACAAATTTGTTACGACAATTATAAGGTAATATCATTAGACAAAATCATACAAATAGTCTTTTTTTTTTTTCTTTTTTATAAGGTAGTTCTGTTTAAAACGGACAAATAAAATTGACAAAAGTTGAAGTCGGATATGAGTTGTCATAAATTCTCGTAAAACATGGTCGAAGAATAGAAGCAGGGGTTGCAAAAGGGCCTATTCATTCGAAGCATCCAAGGGTGGGTATCTTGTTATTTATTGACTAATTTGGAAGACACTTTCGTATATAAGACCTAGATTTTCACTTCTAAAGAATAATGGAATTCTTTACTGCCACGGACCACGAGAAGTTTGTTGTTAATTGGACTATTGGAGCCCTAAACATCTTATGAGTTAGTTGTTAACCGAAGCCAATTTGTTTCAAACATCCAAGAATAAGTATATTACTTTTGGTTTGATGGAAACAAGGATGAAAGTATGTTAGAGACAAATGTTTCACGTTAGTTGCTACTGACCAAATAGATAGATATTATTTCCTAGTTTTTTAGACAAAATTGTAGATGTTTATGAAATATATTGGTTATATGTAACTTAATAATGTTTTTAAATAAATTATGAATTTGGTTAATGCCAATTAAATATAACATATGAGACTGGTATTAATAAAACCTTTTATAACCTACATGTTTCATATATTTGTTATGATATTTGCTTGGTAAAATACAATATAACCTAAACACCATTATGAGTATAAAAATTTACTATTTTATAACATCTGCTAATCGGATTGAACATGTACATGTTACAATGATTTCCCTACATATTCCACAAGTATCTATCACTTTCTTTAAAGATCTAGGAATGGATAACTAGCTAATTCTTGTATAATGGCAACCCGCAATCCTAGTACATTTTCACCTGAGGTGCCATCAAACCAATAAGTAAATACGATTTGCTAGATCTCAAGGATCTTAATTATATCCAAGTTTTCCATCTACTCGACCTAGTAAATATTTTGGATGTTTATTTTGGTACGAAGCTCATGATCATTGCTTTAATCATTCTTGTATAGCAAAGAACAATGAAGTTGTTTCTTGGTACTACCATCATCTTTTAGATGCATGTCACTTCTTTATTTAATGACAACTCTATGGAAACTAAGGTAACTGTAAGCACAATCTACTTGTAGTTCATCATTACTCCCCAAGTTACTTAGGTTGTTTCCTAGATTGACCATCGTGTTAATCCTTTTAATTGTTGAGTTGTTTCTTGGCCTTTCTTCCATCTTCCAACTATATGCCACTTAATCGTTAAGACATATGCATATTGACCCGCAAGAAGATTTTTCGAACCATGTGATTTTGTGGTCATTGGCTTGCAACTCACACATGACCTTTTGATTGACAGGATGGTAATTCTTGGTTGGAAACAACCTTCATTTAATCATTATATATTTTATACTAAAATATATGTAAAACATGAAATGCATATATATGGTCCTATGTAAGAACCTTCCTTTGCTGATAGGGAAATCGATACTATAACATAATGATGTTTAGTTGTTGTCTCGAATTAATCAACTATGTTTTTTGCTCATTACACCATTAGAGTTTAAATTTAACTGTTAAATTATCCATTTTTTCACCTGCAACACATTTTTGTCGGTCAATTGTTGATGTGGTAACTAAAAGGTAACTAAAATGAGTGAAAAGTACATACTCCCTCCGTCTCAAATTATTATCTACGTTTGACTTTTTAAGTTTTTTTTGTTCAATTTTGTTCTTAAATAATTTACTTTTTGTTATATAATTTTTCATGAAAAATATATGAATAAATTGTTTTTTAAATGTATTTTCATTGGTATAAATTTCATCAAAAATTATTGTAACATCTCTGTTCGGGTGTCAAACCAACAAATGATGGGATAAAATAATATTAATATAACTTAAATCACTGCTTTTTTTCTAATACTAAAGATAGTATAGAGTAAGCAGGGTCGGTCCACAGAGATACTGGACTTTTTATCTTGCCATATTTTCACACATAATACAAGTAATATTGAAATGGGGGTTTGTATTTAAACTTGAATTAAACTTCATAAATAAGAAAGATTGAAAACAAACGCAGTAGAAGAAGTACATTTTCGATTTTGACTCTTATATATGTATTATGTTGAAAGATGTAATATAATTATAACTCATGTTCAATCTAGGTTGGTAAGTTGGATATTAATAAACTCTAATATCCAAATTGGCAAAAGTATTTTATTCAAAATAAGCTCTTTAAATAAAATTTCATTTAATTGATTTAACCCAAATAAGCTCTTGCATTAAATCATTAAATGACATTAAGTTCTTGCACTAATTACCAACAATGTTTAACATTCCTCTTAAGCTTGGGAATATAAACATTTAATCTTTGATTGCACTAATTTTGATCTAATTACAACCAAGTAAGTGAGTGTTACTAACATCAAATCATAAAACATATACGAATTTCATGATTTGATTAACTAGATTGAATAGAACCCTAGTTCATTGATCAAGTGAAAAAGAGAACTAACCAAACACATGATTAAGATCAAATCAAAGATTACTAGATGTTAAACATAAGTTGAATTCAAGTTACAGTCTAACAACACATACTTAAGAATTCAGATTCGGAAATGATAATAAAATCAACCACACATATCTAGGTTGGACTACAAATCAAACAAGTTTAAACTTCAAATTGACTTACAAAAAGAAATTAAAGTGTTTTCCAAGTGTTAATCTACTTGCAAAAGCTCTGAAAATCGTCTCTTCTCCTCCCAAAATCCGACCTAACCTTCATAAAAACTGATTGTCCGAATTATAAGAAGACAAAACCACTTTAAAACTGCCGAGACGTTTACACGGCCCGTGTAAACCAAAGGGTTCCATTTACACGGCCGTGTAAACAAGAAAAGTAGAATGCTTAAGTCTTCCAGGTCTTCGAAGTAGAATGTCCTTGCATACACGTTTACACGGCCCGTGTAAATCAAAGGCATAAATTTACACGGCCGTGTAAACTCCTGTGAAACCAAATTCTTCATTTCTTCATTCTCTCTCTCTTCAAAGCTCCAAAACTTCTACAACTTTGTATCCAACTCTTGATAACTTCCTCCAACAAGATCCAACCTTCATAAGTCCCTGAAATATCCTAAAAGCGTGTGAATAGAATTGCATCATGAAAAATCCCGAAATTATACAAAATGCATGAGTCTAAACCTAAATGTAATGCACTTTTATGAACTAAAACTATAAAAAATGAATGCATGAAATGCACCTAACAATCTCCCTCCGGCACGTATCACAATATTGTCCGCTTTGGGCTCCCGACGTGAAAAACTTCCCAGGGGATCACCCATCCCTAGATTGCTCTCATCCGGACACGCTTAACTACAGAGTTCTTATGGGATCTGCTGCTCTCGTGACTTTAAAATGCGTTCTGACAGAGAAGGTATACACACCCTTTTTAAGGAATGCTTAGTTCTCCTTCCCAGCCGATGTGGGATTATGTGCAGCTAACTCGACCGCCTTCACCCTCTCCCCCCATTATAGGTTTTGACGTCCTAGGTGAACACATCATCTCGTGCCTTGACTCTGATACTATTTGTAACATCTCCCTCCGGCACATATCACAATATTGTCCACTTTGGGCTCCCGGTGTGAAAACATTGTCTCGTGCCCTCGCTCTGATACCATTTGTAACATCTCCCTCTGGCACGTATCACAATGTTATATAACACAAATAAAATTATTTATGGTCAAAGTTGACATAGAAAGACTTCAAAAGTCAAATGTGAACAATAATTTTGGGACAGAGAGAGTATAAACTTGCCATGTAGGTTTAGAAGTTAAACATAAATACATTCCTTCTCTTGTTCTTCACACTAAACAAAAACAAACCAAAAAACAGGGCTAGGGTTTTTATCGATCTTCTCGTCTTCAATCTTCAATATGTCAAGATCTAACTAACCTTCTTGCATAATCTAGTGTCATAACCCCGGTCGGCAGCAGAAAAGTCGAGTTGTGCTATGTAGTCATAGATCACAGTTATTGAACATACATTGAACAATACAAAATCAATATGAAAATATAAACTTCGATTATTATCTAAATAGAGGTTGCATTGTCATTGTCTACTAGTACCTTATCAAAATACAATACATACCTAATAGTTTGGCATTTACGAAATATAGTACAATAAGCAAAAGTTTCATAGGTCTTCAGTGTGCCTGTTCTTCCAGCTGCTTATGATCCTGGGAATACATGCGTTTTAAAGATACGTCAACAATAATGTTGATGAGTTTCACAGGTTTTTACTCCATGTGTTTTTATAACCAAAACGTATCTAAGTGCCTTCCTGATTTATAAAA